ATGTGCAAATACCTCTTTCTGAACTGGCCTGCAGCTGAGAAGCACAGATTGAAGAGAAGTAGAAGGAAAAGAGGAAAACCACTTTCCCTCAAACCACTTCTTTCATTCATTTTTTAGAATCAGCAAACTTGCTAAGCACCTACAAGGAGCCAGGGGCTGCTGCAGACACTGAGAATACAGCTTTGAGTATGACAGATCAGCCCCTAGTGCTCCTGGACTTTACATCTTAGGAATAAGAGCAGAATGATAAACATAAAGAAGTAAGAAAAGACTAGGTAGCAGTTAATGCCTTGCTGTATCACATCTTTTACCACCTGCTTGCAACAGGACAGCCTTTTCTGGTAGCTCTCTCTTCTGAGCATTCCTATAGACAGATCCAGTCTACTGTTTTGGGGTTTATGTTATTTATTTCCCTGTTCTGTCAGCAGCTGCAGCACAGATGTGCTAGAGTTTCTACTCTTCAAAGGAATATTTTTTTTGCATGGACACTGGTATCCATTTTAAGCACTGCTGCTTACAGCAGCTTTCCATAGAGAGCTCTAAAATACTAGCCTTGCTGGGCATGGTGGCACTGGCCTGTAATACTTGCATTTGGGAAGTGAGGCAGGAGGACTGCCATGAGTTTGAGGCCAGTCTGAGTATAGTGAGTTCAAGGCCAGACTGAACTACATAGTGAGACCTTATCTCAAAAAATTAAAAAATTAAACATAAAACACCAGGCCCTGCTGCAGGACATATCTGGACTCCTAAGACCCCACAATCGGAGACCTCAGGCTCCTCTAGGAATGGCAGTGATGCTCTGGGATACTAAGCAGACAGCCACTTGGGAATGCTTTTCCAGGTTGTGTTCAATTCTGTCAGAGCCCTCCGGACTCAGCTGACTGCTGGTGGTAGATTTCTGTGTTATTTAGGGCACTGAAGTCCCACAATCTTGACACAAACTTAAAATTAGAAATGCATTAAATATAGGAAAGAAGGAAGGTCATTGAGGAAAGGCAGCCTTCCGAGGGAGCTGCAGGACAAAGACACCCTGGAAACTTCCAGGTTCATTAATGGGTTTTACACAGCATTCCAGCGGTATTTCTCCTTCAGAAATAACACTGTGGAAAGCGTAGGGGACTGGCTCAAACCTCGGCTAACACAGCCGAGTGAGTGACTCTGCAAACTAAAAATAGCTTCTTTCCCACTCATTCTGACAGATTTCACTTAGACCCTGTGCACAGGTTGATCCTCTAACAGTTTTAGTCCTGCAACAAAATGAGGGCTGATGGCATTTGGGCTTGACAACTACCCAATCTCTGGTTCAACGCTTATCTGTTTTCTACATTTCCAGCTCCAACAACAGCAAGTGTGCATGCACATACACTGACGCACATGTACACGTGCACGTACACACTGGGTTTGGTGTTCCTCAACCCAATGTGGCCAGGATTTAAACCAGGAACATGACTCAGAACTGTGGCTGCAGACTGAGCCCGGAGAAGGCCCTTAGAAACACTGGCAATTAGGCTGTTTGTCTTGGAGCGTCTCTGAATTTCCAGCCAGCCTCTGTGGACATGTTTCCTCCATTATAAAATAGAGATGATCCTTCCTCTTCTGACCTATTTCACAGCATCATGGGGTATCAGATGAGACAACCTAGGTGAAAGTTGCCCTCCTCTGTTCCCACACTAAGTGATGGGACAGGTGAGTGAGTCAGGCAGGCAGCCACACAGCAAAAGGAGACTCAAGCACTGAAATGTGTGCACATCCAGATTGCATCAGGAGCCAAGAGCAGACCTAGAGGCATGGCTTCAAATCATGTTCTCCTTTGACATGGAATGCCCTTTTTTGTTTGTTTGTTTGTTTGTTTGGTTGGTTGGTTGGTTGGTTGGTTGGTTGGTTGGTTTGGTGGAACTGGGGATTGAACTCAGGCCATTGAACTTGCCAGGCAAGTGCTTATTCTACTGAGCCATCTCCCCGACCCCTGCCTTTCCACCTTGCTACATTCCTACTCACTTTTAACAATGCAGTTGAAGTACCACCTCTTTTTTGCATCTTTGGAATTAGTCCTTCCCTCTTCACTGCTCCCTGTGCCTTTTGTACCTACTGCTTATCAGATTTGCAACACTTTTTACTCTGTATAATATCTTGTTTGCTTATATAGCTGGAAATTTTTTGAGATTAAAGACTGTATTTTTAATCACTATATCCACCTTCCCACTTTCTACTATTATGTGACTAATACTGGCCCACAGTAGATATTAACCAATGTTTATGGAGTTTAATATTGAAAGAGCAAGATCTCAAAGTCAAGAAGGAGGAAAATGTCTGAGACTGAGGACAGCAGAAAAGGTAGACACACAAAAAACTAGTGGAGATAATGTGGGCAAGGCAATGTCACCATGGTTCACACCATGCAATAAGGGCACAACCATAGGAACAAGAGGCACAGCTAAACAAGACCAGGCAGGAATCTGGTCCTACAAACCAGAAGGACTGAACAGAGAACAAGGGAACCCTTTTGAGATCCAGGCAAATATCACAGTAAGCTCTACATTCAGCTGAATTGCGAATAGGAACAAGGGCAGAGAACAGACCCAGGGCAGAATCAGAGCAAAGCTGAAGTAGTATTAAAACCCGGCAAATCTAAATAAGCTAACATTCCCAGGTCTGCCAAAGCTGAACTAGAAGCTAGAATTAGTGACCCTAAGAACTGAGAAACTGCTAGGCATGGTAGAATTTACCTGTAATTTCAGTACTCTGACAAGAGTCAAGAGTCATTTTCCTCCTTCTTGACTTTGAGATATTGCTCTTTCAATATTAAACTCCAGATATTGAGGTAGAAGGATCTCAAACTTAAGCCCAGTCTGAGCATCATAGCAACTTAGTAAGACCTTGTCTCAAAAACTAAAAGTAAAGGAGGGGTTGGCTGGGGAAGTAGTTTAGCATGAAGGGTTCAGGTTAAATTCTCAAAACTACTAATTATTATTATTATAATTAATATCATCGTTATTAAAAGAAAACAAACTGACAAACTGCAGAAGCCAAAGTCATTACAAATTTAAATAGTGATCACTTCCATTAAGTAGAATAAGAGATGGAAGAGACATAAGATCTACAAAAAATATTGAGTCATCTGATTCTACATATGGGGAAAACAAGAACTAAGCAGGGAAGGGGACTTATCTAAACTCACTCAGAAAAGATCAATGCTAGAACACAAGTCTGCTAACTCCCAATCTAGATCTTATCCCCTCAGGGGTTTCCTTTCAACAGGTCTCCTGATGGCTCCACTAACACACCAGACACCCAACTCTAGCTGTTTCAGAATCTCAGGGAGCCCCCGGTGTAGCCACGAAGCATACATTCTTCTGCTTAAGTGTACAATGCAGGTTTTAAACTCTGGGTGGAAGACAAATAAATGTCCCACAGGAAACATGCACATAGCATCCCACCTTGCACTTAGAAAGCAAAAAGCCACTGCTGCACACATTTCCTGTTCAGTAGCAAAATCCTATTCACATACACCTCATACTGACACATGCATAGGTGGATAAATATGAATCCAGAGAAATATATCAAATTATAGCCTTTGCTCCTACATCATCATCCCCAAGATCTTAAGAAAACAGTTCAACAGGAAAGAGATTGACTGTAGAATTCACACAGTGATTAACAAATTTCAAAAAGAAAAAAAATGATCTAAATGCCCAACATCCGGTTTGCAAAATCCCAGAACCTTCTAATCATGTAATATTATTACATAGCCACCCTAAGTGACCATTTTAAAGACCAAGAGGAAACACAGCAAAACACCTGTGATAAAATAAATGAAGACAACATACAAAATGTCCTGTAAGTATTAACACTACAGTCTTATAGAAGTATGTACATGTACATATGCAAAAAAGAATTTAGTTATGTTAAGGTGGTAAGATTATGGTGGATTTATTAATTATCATGATATAAAATGGTCTCTGTGGAATTATTTAGTATCTGTCCAATCAAAAGGAGACGGGGGCGGGGGAAGAGAAAGACCCAATCTAGAACTAAGAAAGGGCCCAGAGAATCAGAGCTAGGATGCGAAGCAGAAATTGAAAACCAACCTACATACCCAGAAGGAGGAGGCCCTCTTAGGCCCCTGAGGAAGGAAAGCCCTCCAGGTATGGACAGGGTTGTAATTAGTGTGATGCTAATTACAGAAGCTTTACTAGATTATTTTTTTGATAGACTCTGAATGAAGACTGAATTCCTTCATTAAGGTGCAGAGGCACATTTCCTCTGTGGCCATTCTTCTCAAAAACCTAACCTTTTTTTTAAAAAAGAGCAGCAAAGTAAAATTTAGTAAGAGCAACATTCATGGAGAAATTAAGACTCCTGCCTTAAATGCAGAAATTCAAACCAATTCAGAGAACCATATCCAGAGAAGTTTGAGTAAGCAACAGAACTACAATGTTTTCTACACTGGGAAACATAAACAGAAGTTTAAGACATTTCTCTCAGGACTAAAGGCTCCCCAGATCCCATCCCAACCCATCTTTCTAATATTTCCTCAAAACTGCCCCATGCTCCAGGCAAATTTAGCCATCAGCGGTCCTCAAAACATCTTCATATTCCTACCCCTCTGACTTTCAAGCTGTTCAACTACCTAAAAGCCACCTTAGCTGCTACAACTGCTTGCTCAAGTCTGACTCATCCTCTAAAGCACAGCTCAGAGCCATGTCATTCTCAAAGCCCAGTCTAGCCAATGTACCCCAAATGCATTTCTCATTGCTCTCATTGTACAGAGTACAGTACTCTAAAGGAGTTACACAATCTGCTTTATGGTATCATCACTCAGGTAACTGGAGAAATGATTTTTCTACCATATTAAGTCATGAGCGCCTTAGGGACAAAGACTCTTTCGGATTCCTACATGGAACCAATCATGAAGCCTGGCATACAGCAACCCTTACTAAACATATCACTGGAAAACAAGAGAAAAAGACACACTGCTTCTGCGGGGAGTCACCTCCTACCTCTGCAGCTCCCATCAGGCAAGGCAGAGACGAAGGTGTGCAGTTCTCTGGTCCTGAGCAGGGGCAGAAAGAATCCTGCTTTTCCAGTTTCCAGTCTTCTTGAGTGTCCAGATTCCTCCCTAGTTGACCATAGTCTGCTCGGCCCCACGTAAACACCTTGCCAGTTTCTAAAAATAAACATTATTTGAATTAAGGCTACATTCCACAGTGGTACTTTCATGGAGAGGCAGTGAGTTACTAGAGAAAATTTGCTTTAGTACTAACTACTCTGTACAAGAGCCTTCCTATCTTCTTGTAAAGAAGGGGACTTCATATTATTACAGCTAAGGAACTGAGGTTCAGAGAGATTAAGCCATTTGCCAGAATCAAACAAGTGGTAAGTACCAGGGCAGGAATGAAACAGGCTGATTCTAAAGCCTATGCTCTTGCCCTATATACAGCCAAGGATATTACTGCAGATACACTTAATCTCTCATATGGCTACACACACCCTTCCTTGTGCTTTGCCTTGATACCTGTTCTCAGGCTCTGCCACTTCTCACCCCACCCAGGGCCCCTTTACTCTCACTGGAGTTCTCCACACCTCAATCTTCTAGGTCCTTATTCTTAATAGCTGCTTTTTTTGTGTTCTCCTCTATGTAAATAAGAGGACCTCTCACAGAGGAGCAATCCTAAGCATCCCAGGGCAAGCATCAATGTGTACCGGAAGAAAGGCAGTGAAAGAAAAAAAAGGACAAAATCATTCAGAGCCAGACAAACAGTTGGCTCCCCATCACAAGAGAAGCTGGCCAGTGTGAAGATCACAGAGAAAAACCAAGTTTGGAAAAGGAGACATCGACTTTCTTCTCCAGATAAGAGAAAATTCACCAAACTCTCTCAGTTGCACCAAGTGCCACATTTGTTATTTCAACAGAAATGCTAAATCTGATGAGGCATAGATTATTAACAGATTCTCTGCAATAAATATGCATAACCATGTGCGCTGTATAAAGTCTTTATACATGTTTATTTTAACAATGAAAAACTTTGCTTAAAAGAGAAAACACCAAGTAATGCATATTAAATTTAGACAAATCTACTACATGTTCTATGTTTGGTATCAAAGCTTCATCTGGCCCCACATTCAACACATGGCTTAAGAGTGTCAGCTTAAAACAACTACAGACTCGTGGGGGTAACATCAGAATATCACCGGGAGACAGGGTTGGCACGGATGCAGTTCTCAAGCTTGACCTGCTTGCAGACACTGAGGAAAACACCAGCTTGACCTGCTTGCAGACACTGAGGTAAACACCAATCACCTGACCTCGGAGCCTCAAAGAGGGAGCAAAGCCTGAGCACCCCAGGGAGCTTGGTATGGCAGGGGAACCAGGCATGGGTCCACTCAGGCCACAGCTTCACACAGCAGCAGATGCTGCTCCTCTCACTACTGATGGCCTGTCCCACCTGGTAAACTCTGACTCATCTTCTGGAGCCCAACTCATGTGTCACTTGCTCTCTGAAACCTTTCTTAACTCCCCAATTCTCCCCAGATAGGGGTAAAACTTACCTTCCTATAAGGCCCTTTGTTACTGTACTCATCAGCTACTAAACTGCCATTCAACAAACAACATTTTCCCTTCACTTATGCAGGATCAGACTGAAAAATGTCCATGTATCCAGAACCCTCGAAGCACTGAAAGCTGGCAAATTGTCCTTCCACCTAAGCTGGCTAGGGCTTATAATCAGACGGCCCTAAAAAGAAGTCCAAGAAGCCAGACGATAAGGCTGTGGCTTCTTACACAGCCCTAACATTCCTCAGCTGGGCAGAAATAGAAAGCTGTTATCCGCAAGAACACAGAAAGAATTTCTTCTCACAAACTGTCCAATGAATCCTGTCTTTCATATCAAGCAAAACATCTTAAAACTTTCTGATACTGATGTCCAAGACTGCCAGAATACAGTGCCACCATTACTACATCTCCAACAGCAATTCAACCATCCCAGTTATGTGGCACTTTTCACCTTCAAAGCACTTTACAAAGATTAAGTAATTAATCTTTATGCTCTCTAGGAAGCCCACGATGATCTGGTAGAGACAAGCCTAGAAACCAGGCCAACTCCACATTCAGCCTTCAGTCTCCAGACTAAGCATGGTGCCCTCTTTGAACCCACCTGTCTGTTTCTCCCCAAAACATACTCTGCTTCAGAAGCCTCACCAGCAATATGGAACATTCTTATTTCTCTTTTCCTTTAAACAGGCATTTATGGACCACCTCATCTATTTCAATCAATCCTCATAATAACTCTGAACAGAAATTTAGTTTATTTTGCAGATGAGCTTACGTGACTTGAAAGGTCAAATGACTTAGTCCAATTCAAACAACCAGCAGGTGATGAAATCAAGATTTACTGTATGTCTTCTGCCTCCAAGTCCAGCGGTGTCTACGACTGCACAGCTGTTGCCACAAACAGACAAAACTTGGTGGATGAGACAGCCATGTTTACAACATTTGAGGACAAGGCACCAGATTAAATGGATATGCTCTGTCTGCCACCCAGCTTTCCTCACTAGAATGACCTCCCTAAGGAGCCCACATCGCACTCAGGACTATCACTGCTGAAATAAAGGCATTCAACACATGGATTATGATTTTATGTCACCTTGAGTAAAAGAAAATGATGAATCTACACATTAAAAAGAAGTTCATTAATGCACTGTAGATAAATGTCTGCCTCGAGCTAAAGCATGCTGTCAAATCGAAGGAGATTCAGATCATAAATTTCACAAATGAATTTTTCCTTAAAGAATTATACATTACTAAGATAAAAAATAGCTATATAAATGTCATCTAAAAAGTATAGGTATGTGTCTCTGGATAAATGATAAATGTGAGAAATGACAAAACAGCTCAAAACAAAGTCAGCAAATGAAATATAAAGACACGTCCATGTAAGAATTAACAGAATAACTATAGAACCAAGAAATAACATTACAACCAGTCTCAATGCAATATAGAAAACAACGGGGCCCAAATGAGTAGTACTAGCAAAGAACATTTAGGGAGTTTAGAGGCAGCATTTTAAGCTAGAATTGTCCTGGTAGATTTGACAGAACATGTGGCATTTAAGGTGAACTTTTGTATAAGAAAAGAAAATGGGAAAATGAAGGAGGATACCACAGGAACAGGGAGAAAGATGAGTAATAACAAGGTAATCAAAAGGTACAAAGCAGAACAGGAAAGTGAAGGGGGTCCTGGGAGGGAGGCTGGCAGGGAGGGCAGGGTTGCCAAGGTAGGCAGGTAGGCAGGGGGTCTGGATCGCCCCTTCCACAACACAATCCACAAGCTTGGTGCTTCCTCTTCTCTCTCAGTACCACATTCCTTTCACATATTAACATTTGTACTTCCATTTATTTATGATAATGTACCCTTGTATTTTACACATTTACATTATTTACAAATTTACCCTTAGGCCCGGGGAGATGGCTCAGTAGGGTAAGTGCTTCCCTGGCAAGCGCTAAGGGCCCGAGTTCAATCCCCGGTTCTGAAAAAAAAAAAAAAAAAAGCTTGGGCTGGGGTGATGGCTCAGTAGAATAAGTGCTTCCATGGCAAGCACAAGGGCCTCAGTTCAATCCCCGGTTCCAAAGGAAAAAATAAAAAATAAAAAATAAGCAAAAAACAAATTTACCCTTACTCAAAAATATACAGGATAAGGCATACTCAAAAAACAAAAAATGTAAAAGAATGCAACAAAAACATTAAAAAAACCATGAGGCTCTCTTACCACAACCGGGCAGCTGGGCTTGCACGCTCACTTAGGGGCTGCTGTGACTACATATAAGGGGCCGCACACTGAGCAAGAGCGGGGCCATGCAAGAGGAGTGTGTCTGGGGTGGCAGCTGTGGCGCAAGACTGAAGGAAGGCAACATCTCTGCAGACCTGCCCCTTGCTAGGCACTGTTTTATGCACCCTCGGTAGTGTCCTGTTTATTCCTCCAAAGGCCTCAGAGGTGAGTACTCTTCCATCTACATTCTACCAGCAGGGAATAGGCACTAAACCCAAAACACAGAAGCAATAAATGAAAAGGAGAGAAATTGGGGCCAAAAGTAGGGTGAGAATCAGAAAAAAGGGAAAGTTTTCAGAGCTTGGTACCTCATTAGATGTGAGAAAAAGAACAGGAAGACATGAACACCAGTCTGAGATTTCGGGATTTCAGAATGAGTAGGAAGGTGGTGGTGCCACTAAAAGAAGTAAATGAAGGGGTAGAGATGATGGAGCAAGGGTCTTGCCAATGAAAAGCACAAAATATTACTTTATTACCAAATTATATAACCCTCCTAGGAACTCTTGCAAACATACTATCAAACAGCCAAATATAAATCAGGGAGAGAGGAAGCAGAAAAACTACCTGGGCTGGAAGGTAAAGGTGGGCCTGCAGCCACAGCACACCCAGAAGCTACTCACTCTAGCACTGGCTGAGTTCCTCAGGAAAGACACTTCTCTCCTGTCCCAGGAAAGGGGTCCTGAAGGTGACAGGAGTACAGAATCAAACCAGGAAACGCAGAGTCATGGACAAGAACACAATGGAGTCAGCAAACAGAAGTGGATGCTAGAAAAGGAAAACCCATGGGTCCCATGGAAACAAGCGACCTCATCAGTCTCTCTAAACCCTCATCTCCCAGGATGCTACGAGGCCTTCAATACCCATGAGAAGGAGGGTGCTCGCTATGGATGAGTTTGTTACATTTATAACTCATCTTTTCATAAATTCTAGTTACTCTTGGAGTTATTCATCCTAAACCCTTAGAAGGTGAGACTGACTTCTGTAGCTCACTCTTTATTCTGACATGTTGAAACTTTATACAAAAAGCACAGGATGGCAATAACCAAGGCCTATTTTAACCCAGTACTAATAGCCCAAGAGTGAGCCCTCTTTCTGTGTAAGGAACAGAAGAGGGAAGGAAAAAGATGGGAGCACAGGTTCTGAAAGCAGTCACACTGGCACCATGCCATGCTGCCCCAGCCCTCTGTCCTCTCTGTCCCCGCTGTGTCTACTCCCCTGACCCCATTCAGCGAGTCAACGCCTACTCACTCCAGTTCTGCTGACTCCCCAGCCAGAGCACATTCTTCTGCCCAATAATCCCAGGAACCACAGGCCACCTTTTGGGAGCTCTTATCCCAGTCTG